GTGGAAAACACAAGTATCTAGAAACAGCCAAGATTCTGAGATTGTTGGCCTCCTGTGTCAGGCAGGTTGAGATGTGCATTTTTTCCACTTCTGCTAGTAACTCATTAAGGAAAACTTTGCTAAAGAACTTGACCCTGTAGCCTGAAAACCCCTGGGGGACTACTGAAAGTATGGGTCTTTGGAGATGTGCTCTCATTGAAGGTTTGGTTCATTGGTCCTAGGAGTGGGATGGGAGTGGATTAGCAATGTCTAGGTGGGAGTGTGACCTGAGGCTTGGTCATGACCTAAGCCTCAGACACCCCATGAAGAGCAGCTCAGAAAGCCTTGGGTGATGCCTCACTCCATTCCAGTTCTGGGTCCAAGTGCTGTCCTGTTGCTCAGTGTGTGCTGCACCTGGACTCTGCTTGACTATCAAACCAATTTTGACAGCGATCTCTTGCATTTTTATGATTGGTTTTGTATTCCTGCCCTTAAAGAATGTTTTGGATTGTCCTCCACCAAGTCCATAGCTCAGCCTACGCCTCCTACAACTTCTCTTTCGAGTGAACACAGGTTGCAAGCAGTGTGGGTATTCTTGTGTTCTTAGTCCAGAGTCTTTTACTTGCCTGGAAACTAGAGGCAGGGAGTCCCGTTGGAGGGATACTGCTATAGTCTGGGATTCAGATGGTGAGGGGTGGGACTGGGCTTGTCACAGGGCTGCAGAGTTAGGGGAACGTAGCATTGATTGCCTGGGAATGACATAATGAAGTGAGAGTTGGCAGGGCTGTGATGCACCTGTGGTTTTTATTTTACCATGTAGCCATCTTATCGTTCTAAATGCTTGGGCTCCTGACTCACAGCTTGTCCTCATTTGTCAGAGTTTGCAGAAACCCTGGAAACTGCAACTTGAGTGATCAGGAAGCCTGTGATGGTTTCAGAGGTTTGCACATAGACATTATCATAAATATTAATGCTTTTTAATGTAAAAAGAAATTTATCATTCAAACTCTACACCTATAAATTGATGATTTGAAGAAAGACAAGGGGGCTAGGAAACATTCTGAGATGATTTGCATAGGAATCGGGGTGTGATTCTGCAAAGAGAAGGCCTGTCAGATCACACTGGCCTTTCGGCTCCTATCAGCACACCTCAGAGGTGAGCTTTCCTCTGGGAAAGTCTGCAAGCCTGTGATGGGGTCCACAAACCTTTCTGGAATCATCTTCAGATCTTTACAAACCACTGAGATTTCACAGTCCTGTCCTGATTCAAGTGGTACACAGTACTTCCTGTGCACTTAGGTTTACAAAAACTTCCCAGGAGGATTTTTAAAATATATTATTCTTGACTTTTCCTTTTTTAAGACTTTCATACATGAAATTCTTTGTCTTTGCATTAATTCCATCCCTTCCCATCCCCCACCAATTCCTCCCATGTCCCCCATCCCCCACCAACTCCTCCCATGTCTCCCACCCCCTCGCAATTATTTTGTCCTCTTTGGTTATTATTGTTACATATACATATACATTTATAAATACACATAATACATATGTCTGTATTATATACATATACATATGTATATATATAAAATGCATTGAGTCCATTTAGTGGTGCTCGTATGTACCCTCCTATAAGGCAGGGGAAGGGGTAAGAGAGGGTCTGGGGAAGATTGGATGGTATATAGAGAAAGCAGGGTAGTTTCTAAGGTCATTCAGGACCCATCTCTCTAGGTAGCAGTTTGGTTTCCTTAGTGACATCAGGTCAACCATAGCTGGTTGCACTAAATGTTCTTGGACTCTAGTAAGAGATAGTGTGAGAGTGACCTGGAATCCAGGCAGGAGCCTGGATTCTGCACACAGCACACAGCAGTCACATCAGGCTGGCATCTGATGGACCACACAGTTAACACACACCAACACTCCCTCCCCTGGGATGGACCCTTCATGCTGAAGCCCAGAGTGCTTATATTCACAGCAGTGTCCCAGTTTTCTTGCTCTAGAAAGCATAAGAGTAGGACTCTTGGAGCCAAACTCATTTTCACACCTTCAGCAACTAGCAACTTGAACATAAGGGCCAAGACCCCAGGCAAGGAAACAATAAACCCCACCCTGTGGACCAGGCTGTATGCTAAGTGTTTCTAGTCACCTCACTTCACCCACTCAGCGATGTCATTGTATTATAAATACAGATCTCAGGGCTGGAGAGATGGCTCAGCGGTTAAGGGCACTGACTGCTCTCGCAGAGGTCCTGGGTTTAATTCCCAACACCCACGTGGCGGCTAACAACTGTCCAGTAACTCCAGTTCCAGGGGATCCAATGCCTTCTTCTGACCTCTGCAGGTATTACATGATGGGTACACTTATACACATGTAGGCAATATACTCATACGCATAAAAATTTTTTAAAAAATGCATTGCTAAACTAAAAATAAATGCAGATCTGGCTTCTTAAAGATTGAGTTGACAGGCTCAGGGATACGTGGCTCATCAGGGGAACACTTGGCCCAAATTCTTCCAAGTCAGTGTTCACAAAGTGTGGTTCCAGCCATCAGCATCCCTGGAACTTGTGAAAACCACAAGTTCATCAGCTTACTTCGGAGCTGCTCACACTCTAGGTGAGGCCCAACAATTCTGACAATTCTGATAATTCTGATGCCCTTTCACATGTGAGAGCCATCAATCCTCCTGCATATTCTGGCTCTAGAGGGCCTCAACTTGGTACAGACTAGAATCATTTTGGCATAACACCATCCAGCTTCGTCCATGTTACATAAAGGGTCAGGGTTTGTTGGGGGACCCTGCTGCTAAGGTTGTAGTCCTCCATGTCCGGATAGCTCTAAGGGGCTCGGCGCTACATGAAAGGACTCCCTTTTTCAGCTAGGGCCCTCCTGCTCTCTGCCTGACTTACTTGGAAAGTGCCACCAAGCATGGATGCCTGACCTTATTTGGAACATGACCTTTGGCATAGTTACCCGCAATAAAACTACCCCCAGGTTTTTTCTATATGATAATTAGGCATTGCCCTATAGTCGGATGATAGATACCCCTACCACATATAAATAAAGCGTACTATGAGCACCTATCAGCTGAGGCTTTGGCTGCTGCCTCCACACTATATTTTCCCAAACCCCCACTGAGTAAACGGAGCTGTATCACTGAATCTGACTCCCTGGAAGGGCTTCTGTCATGCTCACTGGCCGTCCTGACCCTGTTTGTCGCTTCTGCTCCCTTTGTCCTTGTGGACCGGTGACCAGTGTGGTAGCTCAGATCTATAATCCCAACACTGAGGATTCTGAGGCAGGAGAATCTTGATTTTGAGGTCAGTCTGAGCTACTTAGCAAGATCCATGTCAAACCAAACTAAACCTGCAAAAAAGCCTTCACCTCCTCCTCCTCTTCCTCCTCCTTCTCCTCTTCCTCCTCCTTCTCCTCTTCCTCCTCCTCTTTCTCCTTCACCTTCTCTTCCTTTTCCTCCTCCTTCTTTGATACAAGGTCTCCTGTAGCCCAGGCTGGCATTAAACTAGCTATAACCAAGGATGATCATGAACTTCTGATGCCCCTAACTTCTAAGCTCCAAGTGCCAGTATTATAGGATCTGCCACCAAGCCCAGTTCATAGGGTGTTGGGGATTGAACCCAGGGCTTCTTGCATTTTACACAAGCATCCTACCAACGGAGTTTCATCCTAATCCAACCAATCTTTACTGCTTTCATGTGGGTTGAAGGGAGAGTGTCTGCTCTTCTGCTTTACAGTTTGGAACCCTGATGGAGAAGGGCCATTTTGAGTTGGCCCTGAAGGTGGGAGACAAAGATCAGCTTGTCCCATCTCAAATTCTGCTGAGTTGAGGTGGAATTATGTGAAGATTCAATGATATCAGATTTCCTTCATTGCTCCTCTGGACCAAAAAACACTGAGAAAGAGCTCATCAGGGGAATGGCACCGCGGGAAGGTCATGGAACATCCTTTTGTCCAAACTGCTTATATACTTAGCTCTTGGGAGATGAGCTGACCCACCCAAAGTTGCAGAGGACAGAGGGAAAAGGAAAGGGCCTAGGAGCCCAGGTTCCTGTCATCCTACTCCCTTGTGCCCCTCTTTGATACCCCTTTGTTCCTTCTGCAGAACATCCATTGCTCTTGATAGTAGTCTGGTTCCCATGTAATTGATGGTAACCCCTTCCTGTGGAGGGAGGCATACCATAAAGAAAAACTTCTTGTGGGTAGGCCACACAAATGCTCCCTAGCTGCCACTTCAAGGGCAGACAGTGCAGATACTGAGATAACTGCCCTCAGTAGTTATGTAGAGCATAAGCCCTATAACTCACAGAACAGTTTTTAACATCTCCCATGTATAGATCAGAGAAGTGAAGTAACCTGCCCAGGGTCACACAGCAGGCAGAGAGCAGAGTGAGGCTGATTTACTCTTTGTATCTTTCACTCATTACTCTGTGTCAGTGGCTTCTGTCACAGACCAAAGGGTGACCCACAAAGCAAGGCTGCCACTTGCCACCCTAAACCTTTTGTAGATATTTTGTTTTCTGGAAAAACGCAATTTCTTAGACGATACCCAAATAGCTCAGGCTGTCCTACAACTGACATGCAAGAAGTGTAAAAAGAATCCAGCTTAGCTTATTATTTTAGCTATGAGATACCTGGCTGTTTGAAATTTTTCGTTACCAAGGATCATTGTCCGTAGGTGGGATTTTCCACATGCCCGTGAATGTGAATGCTTCTGTTTGCACAAACTCACCATGCCTGTGCTTCCCTCTTGTTGAGATTGTGACAGAGGGGGAGATGAGAGTTATTTTTAATTTGCAACTAACCGAACTTCCAAGACTTCCCTTCCAGCAGCTAAGCCTATATGTTTTCTCAACAGGGTATTAATTACCTGGCTCTGGGACTAGCCAGACAGGCTATTCCAGTGGCTCTGACTGCCCTGCTGGCTGGATGCAATTGCCTGTAGACCCAGCAGGACTCAGGGAACGTCAGCAGGGAGCATCCTCCTTCTGAATAAACTCAGACATGGGCACTGGACAACTTGTTAAACACATTTATTGATTCTTTTGACAGTAACCAAACACAGTGAGTGACTATTATAAACAAGAAAAGAAAGGCATTCGTTTGTAGTTTGTGAGATCTGGCTGCACCTGGAGAGAAAAAGACACCCCATTTCCCAGGAATTTACAAGGCAAAGTGCATTCCTTTGGGAGCATCACAAGGGGGAAGGGAATGGCAGTTTTGAAACAAGGAATCTGTTGCCTGCTATGTCAGGCCGAAGCTCACCTTGGATGAATGATCGAGCCATGGAGTGGAATTAAAGTTATACTTGCTTAGCAAATGCATTCCTGCTTGCCACAAACTCAGTAAAACTGGCTGCAAGTGGACAAAACACAGAGATGAAGGAACAGATGAGACCCAGGAAGGGAGCTGGATGGACCCAGGGCTTAGCCTGTCAGAAGAACAGACCAAAGCCAGAAAAATGAAATCAACGCATCAAACACATTTATTGAGCAGTTAACAATAACCAAACACAATGTATGATCTTCGGAAAACAAGAAACAGCAAATGGATCAATTCTGATCTTGGCAAATCCTACTACAGATATGTGACAAAGAGGGAAATAATTCCATTTCTTTATAGTCTGTGGTGATATATATATACAATGTGTAGCTCTTCGATGTCTGTCCTTTTTTTTTTAAATTTTCTTTTTAAATCGTTGAGTAAACAGAAGAATCATAATCTAGAAATAAGTGTCCTTGGTCAGCTCTGTCCTGGTTCACCTGTCACCAGCATCCTCAAAGGATCTTAGGACACTGTCAGGAACAATGAGATGCAGAGTCCACTTGATGCTTTTAGAGCTGTTTTCTCCCCTCTCTTTTGGAAGAATTTTGTATGTACAAAGGCTGAAAAGTCTCATTGGGTAGGTTTACTAGTTCAGGAAAACAGTATCAAAATTGTAATCGGGTTAACTGGTTATTTTCTTCTAAGACTTTTTATGAATGAGCTTTTCATTTCTGAAACTTGACTTCCCATCATGGAAGTGGTATAGGTGTATATATGTGTATTTGTGTTTGCCTCTGAGTGAGTGTGTGTGTGTGTGTGTGTGTGTGTGTGTGTGTGTGTGTTTGGGAGTGCGTAGAGAGATGTCTTCCTCTCCCATGTTTTTGCAGATACTTTTCATGAATAAGGGGCCAATCCAAAGAGTGAACGGCTTAGGGAGGAAGGAGAGAAGAAAGAAGGGGGGCATTCTGGGTTACGTCAGTTCACAGTTGTAGCATTTCACTGAGGTGGGTGGGGTTCTTCTTGGCTTCGTTCCCTACTTGAGGAGCCATTCATTTACTATAAAGAGAAAGAAACAAAACCAACCACACACAACACAAAACAAGACACAAGTCAATTAATGTGCACTTAGTTTGGAGGGCTTACTCCAAAGGGGGAAGGGGCTGCTTTCTAAATGTCCGTCTGTTTATTAGTGTCCCAGCTACTCCCTGCCCCATGGTCCTTGAGGCTTGTGCTTTCTAATATGCTAGCCAAAAGCTCCAGGTGGTTGCTGTGAGGCTAAGTGGATGAAAACAGAAAATTTACTTGCATCATCAAAGTAGCCCCACTTCAAATGTTCGGTAGTCACCTGGGCATAGTAGTTTCTGTGTTTGATGACAGAAGTATAGATAGACCATTTCCACCATGCAGAAAGCTCTAGTGGGGGGCACTGTTCTAGACCAAAGATAGCTCACAGCCTTAATCCAGCACATTATCTATTTTTAAAAAATAAAGTTTTATTGGAGCACAAGCATACCCATTTGTTTCCATATTGACTATGGCTGATTTCATACTAAATCAGTGTGGGATAGAGACTGTATGACCCTCAACACCTAAAATGTTTGATTGCTGCCTCTTTATAGAAAAAAATGTGCAAACCCCTCTTGTCTAGACCACAGCTGCTATATGGCTAGGATAATATCTATCTTCATTACCACTGCATAACCACCTCAGCTTATGTGCCCCATTCATAGTAGGTACCCAGTAAATCAGTGAGGAATAAAGAGAAGCCATGAATGAATTGGGTAGTTACTGGTTCAGCAGTTATGGCTTGAAGGGAGTAAGGAATCTACAATCTAGGTACTCTGTGTCTAAGAGAGAGAGAGAAAGCAGAAAGGCAGATTAAGTAGGAGCCGTGCAGTGGGGGTCCAGAGGTGGCAGTGTTATCTGCTCTGCTTCCAAAAGCTTCCATAGAATTGACCACAGCCCTTGTATTTAGGGAGCATGTCATTGCCACAAAAGGCTCCCCATCCAGGCTCTTGTTTGTTTCTCACAAGCCATGACATTTGCCAGGAAGAGGCCAGAAACAGTGAGGAAAGACTGGATTGGGTTTGTATGGCTTGTTAGAGCCAGGGCTGGACCCTGAGTGTCCTGACTCCTAGTCCAGGACATCACTGAAACTCTCTTCTCCCTGCCTCTCCTTTTCTACACTGAGAGTTCACCACAATGAGCAAAAGTGTTGTTATTGTGTAGAAGGTGTGGTGTGTTTCAGAAGGTCACAGGAGGCAGATGTCATCTTAAATGTCTCCTTTAGTAGGTATAAGTAACCACATCTAAGTACATAGCACTGGACAAAGAAAGATATAAACACTCAGATTATCTCATTGGATCCCAATAGCATCTGATCCATTTAGTGGACACATACTAAAAGCTCTAATGTTTCTTCCTGTCCTCCTCTAACAGATAGCCTTTGTGGAAGACAGGCTTTCTGAGGTCTACTGTAAAGTGTCAGTATAAAGGATTGTTTTGTTTGAACCAGAGGAGGTGGAAAGGTTTAATATATGTGGCACGAAATCTATACATATCACTGTGTACCACAGATATCAAGCCTTTAACCTTTATCCCTTTCATCTATGTGAGACACACAGGCTTTGCTAACAGAAATAGGGGTGGTGGTAACCTTATTGTCACAGTTTCTACAATAGGAGATATTGCTAGAAAGAAATGGATCTATGCTAAAAGTGGGACCTCTGGCCTGCTCTGCTCCCGAAGCCGTGATAGTCACCTCTATATTGCAGCTTTTGAGCTCGGTTGTTTGGACAGTCCTTCCCCTGTAAACTGAAGTTGATGTTGGTGCGGATACAGCGATTATTGAGTGGCTGGACAGGCCTAAAGTTGTCACTCATGCTCAGAAAGATCTGCGATGGCTGATTCTGGCTGAGTAGACGTAGGGAATGCATCTGAGAAGAGAAAGAACTGTGAGATCCAACCACACTGTAGATGTGCTAGGGAAGAAAGGCCAAGGAGGCTGTGGCCATGCTGGGCACCGGCTATCTGAGAAAAGCCACAAGCCCCTAGAGCCCCTTTCCTGGGGTCAGTTGAGCTGAAGAGCCACAGATGCCTCCAGACATAAAGTGAGCTTGCATCTAACTTGCTAGCTCATGAACTTTGAACAAGTGATTTTCACCCTCAAATGTACCAGCCACGTGATCTCAAGGACTCCTGTTTTCTTTGATACCCCATGGCTCAGTGACTTCTTGACCCCACATGAGCACTACCCAGACCATAGTGATTGGTCCAGGATCAGAGGTAAGCTAAGTTGGGCTAATGCAATTTCTTGTCTCTGAATGTCTGGGCTGTTTTTAACCACAAGACTATGAAGCAAAAGAGGATAGTTGTCATTAGGAGAGAGATGAAATGAATGTGCTGGAAGAAGAATGAAGAGGAGAAAGAGGGAGGAAGAAGAAGAGGAGAAGGAAGAGGAGAAGGGAGGCAAGAGAAAGAGGGAGGAGGAGGAAGAGGAGGATGATGATGAAGAGAGCAGAGAGGAAGGGCTTCTGGCGTTCTTATTCCAGTGATTACCCCATATCAGTTACTTGATGCCCCAGTAGTTCTTGAATATATCTTTTTTTTTTTTTCTGAGCTTGAGCTATCTGGAGGGAGTTATTGATGTTTATCATCCTGTGAGTCCCAATAGGACCAGAGACTGTCATGTTATCAGGTTGGGAATGCATATCCTACCAAGGAGATTTGGGTTTTGCTTCATTTCTTCATCTTCCCTTTGAGTTTTATAGATACTGTTGATCACATGCTGGGGCAGGAACAGATGCATGTAATCCACCCTCCTTGTGGTAAAGAGGAGGGGCAAGCCTGGAGTACACAATGAGCCACCGAACAAAGCTGGTATAGGAGGGCAGGCTGTTTCCTGTGCAGTTGTGAGAATAGATTATCTGGAATGATTTAAAAGCATCCTACATGCAACATATATTTCTGAAATGCTATGTATCATGTTGTCTCTTCTTAGAGATTGGCATTGTACATTATTTTAAAGAGGCCTGAGCAGTCCCTTCATGGTGAAATTGACATAACTTATTATTATTTTCTTCAGTGCCTAGGGCTTTGTCCATGTCAGGCAAACACTCTACCACTGAGGTCCACTCTAGCTTATATAGTTCTAAAAAACTATATTAAGTTTATTAAAGTTGATAATTTTGTTTGAGACAAGATCCTACTATATAGATGAGGCTGGCTTAGAACTGTGATGATCCTCCTGCCTCAGCCTCCCATGTACAAGCCACTATACCCATTTGTGTAATTTGGAACTAACTCTGCTGTCTTTTTTTCCTCAAACAGGAGGGATGCTTCCGTAAGTAGTTTATGCTAATATATTTCAGATGCTGACTCTGTAAACATGTTCTGAGTTTGTGTGTGCCCAAACTCATAAGTTGAATGTACTAGTAACCCATAGTACCTCAGGTTGTGACCTTACATGGAAATATGGCTATTGCAGATGTCATTAGCTAAGTTAAGATGAGGTAATTGGGGTAAGCACTTCTAATTCAATATGGGGTCTTTTTAAAAAGGATGGAATTGGACAGAGATGCAGACAGACAGAGAGTGCTAAGTAAAGATGAAGGCAGAGAATGGGCATGCATCTCATGTCAAGGAACATCACAAATTTCCAACAAACCATAGATGCTAGGTCACAGGCATGCAGCAGAGTCTCACATCCCTCCAAAGGAACCATCTTTTCCAAAGCTTTGTTCTGGGCTTCTGTCCTCCAGAACTATGAGACAACATGTTGCTGTGGTTTGTGCTTTATGACTATGGATATTCTGGTAAACTAACACAGTAGGCACCAAACCAACTCAGCCATTCCTCATACCTTATTCTCTATTAGTCAAAGGACCAAAGGCAAGCTCACCTGCATTCTGGTTATATACACAGGCTTGTTCATTATTATCCAACTCGCTGTCTCATAGCAGGGTGGGATAGTCATTGACCCATCGTAAGTGATGAAACTAGAGGTCTCTGGATATAGTTCCTCTATATTAAGTCCCTGTAGTAAATAGGCATCATCTAGAAAAGAAGGTAAGAGAGACAAAATTTGGTGCCTTATAAATCATTCTAATATATTTATTATATACAGTATTAAATATATATATTTTCAGAAGACCATATCTATCGGTATCTTCAGTAACAAACAGTCCCATTATCAGTCTCATCATCCTAATCGCTGCTTCATTTTTCCTAATTGTTTTAAACCACAAAATGTTATGCATTGTTCACAACCATACCAGGTGGCTATGGGCTTCCCTCCACACCCCTGTTGTTCTCCTTTTGTGGGTCATATTTAGAGCAGCCACTGCCTGGTTGCACTGTGATTTGCAGATCACAATGGCAGAAGAAAAAGAAGCGTTGGAAACCACAGCAACTCTTAAAATCTTCCATCCAAGAACGGGTACATGTCAGTCACTTCTGTTCACATTTTGGTATGCAAAAAAGAGTCATGTGGCCAAGCTGATTTCAGGGTTTTAGGGAAGGATGGGACTTTGAATACTGGAGAGTTGATCATAATGTTGTCCATCACAAGAATTGTTTCTCTAAGGCTTGGATAATATGGTTCAAACCTGAAATGTCCCTACAGCCTCATTCTTTTGGAGTTTACCACTATACCACGGCACACCCCAAACTCATGTGTTGAATGCTTGTTCCCCAGCTTGTGTTACTATTTTGAAGGATCTGGAGCCTTCAGTGGGCTCTGCATGCCTTTTCTGCCATGATGCACTAAAATATGAAATCATGACCCAAAATAAACCTTTCCCTTTTTGTTTCTGCAGGGTACTTTATCACAGCAAAGAGAAAAGTAACAAATACATACAGGCATTCCAGTCCCACTGAAATAAACAAATAAAGGCTTCAGGACCTGTTGAGATGTTACCCAACTACTGTTTTTATTTATTAACATGGCTTGATTAAAATTAGATTAAGACAAAACTTTTAGAAAGAGATGAATTAGACTGAATCCTACTGTGATGTTCAATGCTCAGGTTCAACAACTGATTTCTGTTTTGTGGATCTCCTCTCCATTGGCCTGCACAGATGGCCTTTTCTTTTATGCCTAGCAGAGGTATTCATTCTTACATCTTTTTTAATTAAATGTAGCTTTCTAATTATAAAAACAACTTGTATATATGTTAAGGCTATGTGGATAAAATAGAGAAAGGTATGATTCCAATCATTTAAAATAAGTGCTACTGGCATTTGGATATGTTTCCTTCTAATATTTTTATTCAATGCATTGGTTCAATTTTTAGAAAACTAACATATTAGAGCTTTAAATTTTCAGTAGATCTCACCTTCCATCCTCCCTATGATTCCTTCTCTTTGTTGCAGGCTATTGCTTTCTTCTCCTAGCTTCCAAAATGGGATAGCTGGTCTTATTTCTCTGGCTGCTCCCTCTCAGTTTTGGTGGCTGACCCTTATCTTCCACCTGCTTCCCTCAGTGCTATGCTCTCTGAGCATCTGTCCAAGCTTTGCTTCTTTCTCAGTCTCTGCTCTCATGTTAGGGTGGCCTGACTCTATCCACTATTCACAGCTTCCATTGTCCTCTGCACCCTCTGTAGATTTGTCTCCAGAGTTGGTAAATGTGCTTTGAGTATCCACCAGTATAGCCAGTCTAGGAGCCTGGAGAGTACTCGGTAGACACCCAAAGCCTGGCTGGCAGAGGGGCGAGACTAACTCCCACAGCCCCTCTGCAAATGTGCAACTCCCAGTGGGAAAGAACCCTGCAGTGGCTGAGTCATCTCTCAAGCTCTGTAGTGTATAAAGAAGGACTTTTGTACATAGCTGAAACCTCATACCCAGTGAGATGGGTCAGGCAAATAGCAAAATATACACACTGATAAGAAAGTAAACACCAGAGAGGCAAAGTAACTAGCCCACAGTGACAGAGTAATCTGGTGATTAGGGAGTAGGGTTTTTTTTTTTTTAATTTCATTTTTATTTTTAATCATGCATATGTGGTAGGTATGTGCATGTGAGTGCAGTACTCCAGCAGAACTGGAGTTATAGATAGTTGTTAGCTGCCATGTGGGTGCTGGGATTTGAACCTGGGTCTTCTGCAAGAACAGCCAGTACTCCTAACTGCTGAGCCATCTCTCCCAGCCCCAGGGAGTAGGTTTTAAACCCAACGTTCCTGACCTCCAACCAAGGCCATTCACTAAGCACCCATTTGAGCTGGACTCAGGGTTAGGCTCTGAGGATACAGCAATGAACAGGGTGGGTGCAGTGCACTCTAGTTGGAAAACTAGACAATACATAGCAATATATGCACACAGATGACATTAGGATGAGGACTGCACTGTCTACTGCACTGGGCATTCAATCTACTTTTGTAGGCAAAGACACTACCCCATTTCTTTCTCCAGAAGTATCTTGAACTTTTTTGGTTAAGGGAGCTTGAGTTAAGGCATTCTTTAACTTCTCAAATGTGAACAGATCAATCAAGCCAGCAGTTTGAAATAATGTAAATAAACTCGCTATTTACGTGTTCCCTCCAAAACCTTCCCCTATGACCTTCTGCTCCTCTGATGCAGTACTAGACTCTTCCAGCGCTCTGTCCATGCACGAAAAGAGCTCAGCCAAGCTGGGCTTGGAGGCCACCTTGACCAACCCTAACATTAAGGATTTCCTGCTCCCTCCCTCCTTTTCTTCCTTTCTTCGTAGCTACCTTCCTTCCTTTTTAAAAAAAATTATTTTATTTGTATTTATGTGTATGTGTGTGGGTGCTTGTGGAGGCCAGATAAGGGTGTTGAATCCCCTGGAACCAGAGTTACAGGTAATTGTGAACTACCAGGTATGAGTGTGGGGCACCTAACTCTGATCCTCTCAAAGAGCAGCAAATGGTCTTAATGGCTGAGCCATTTCTGCAGTCCCACCCCCTTTTTAAAAAGATTATTGATTTTTTGCAAATTTCATACAATATATTTTGATCATATTTAGATCCCTTCCCATATACACAACCCTCTTACTAATCCCTCACCAACTTTCTGTGCTTTAATATATATGTCGTAAGGCCCATGGAGTCAGGTTTGTGTCCCCAAATGTCCTTTGGTGTAGGTTCATCCACTGGAGCCTGGTCAACCTACTAAGAACCTCATCATCTCACCCTTAAGTATGACTGAATCTCCCCTTCCCATCAGTCATCATTTGCCAATAGTTCCTCAGGTAGATTTGGGGTTTCTTATCCCAGTGTCTATGCTGGGATATTGTCTGGCTTGAGTTTAAGATGGGATTTGTCCATGCTGTCACCATAGCTGTGAGTTCACATGAATAACTGAGCAACTGTCTGGAAAGCTCTGTTTCTTTGTGGTCATTGGCCTCCTCTGGCTCTTACAATCTTTCCACCCCCTCTTCTGCAATGATCCCTGAGCCGTGGGAGGCAGAAGCTTGACACAGGTGTCCTATTCAGAGATAAGCACTCTGTAGCCTCTTATTCTATGCATGTTGGCCAATTGTGGTTCTCTGTGTTAATCACCATCTGCTGTAGGAGGGTCTGGGAAAGCACCCAGATCTGGGGCTCCAAAAGGGTCCCAACAGAGCAGAGATGGCCAGCAGCACAAGAAGGAAAGTTCTCCCACTTTGTTTTGAGACAGAATCTTATGTAGCACGTGTTGGCTTTGAGCCCCTCATTATCCACCTCCCAAGCGCTGGGATTACAAGCGTATGCTATCATGCCTGGCAAGTTTTAGAAGCTTTCCATTTAAATAGCAACAAACACTTTCACTGAGAACACCAAGGACCTAGGACAAGCCCAAGAGGTAAGTAGTGACCTGAATCTGACTGGGCTCAGACTGTTTTGGCATAGCGCATAGTCAGGTAGTCTCACCACAAAGCCACAGTGTTCACAGCACAAACCCATGTGCTGGACCTTCTGAGTTGGATAAGTTGCTAACATAATGAGCTTATGCTGGGTATTCATCTCATCCTGTCTGTGACTGTGACTGTGTCAGGCATGAAGATCAGAGCAGGAGAGCAGGGATAATTAGGTGAATGTGGGTAGGAATCACAGACAGTGATGTGCTGGCTCCAGGAGAGGCTGTCAGATCTGCCTAGAGTGGGGAGACTTGTATAAGGATGCATGGAGGAGCTGCCCTGAGCTGCATCTTGAATGACAGGAAGTAATCAGTGTGTGGCTGGCAGGGTTGAGGTGTCAAGGAGACTGCAGACAGAGGCATGTCAGAGAAAGTGCTGAGGAAGTACTTGGGGACAGCTAGAGTGTGGGTGGGATGAAAGAGGGATACTGTGGGAAATGAGGCTAGCAGGGCCAACATAGGCCATATCCAGGAGGTCCTGTCTGCTCTGGTGGGAGTTTGGGCTTCATCTTAAAGGCAGTTTGGAGCCACTGAAGGGTTTCAAACCAGGGATAGCACGATCAGATTTGCACTTAATGAGGCTTGCTCTGGCGGCAGTTTGGCCTAAAGATCAACATATTGAATGAGAGAAGAAAGCGTTGGGCACATTTTTATTAAAGGTCAATGTGATTTGTTTAACCAAGCTTTACCAGGAGCACACTGGGTACTCTAGCGTGCTGCTAGTATTGTGCTTTATTTTATTTGGGGCTGTGAGGAGGAGGGAAGAAAAGGGGTCGTAGAAATGAGGGCTATTCCAGGCAGAATTGGAGCCAAGAAAAAAGGCATTTATATTTCTTTGAAACTAGAACCAGGCCCTGCGCAGCATCTGTATTTGAGGAAAGAGTACAACATCAGAGGGAGGGTACAAGTGAGAAGCAAGAAGCAAGAAAAGGTGATGTTTATGGGTTTATCCCTGGCATAGGGTCACAACCTATTTCCAAAGCATCATAGTGTTGATTCTCCAGATTCCATCTGCTGGAGTCCTGTTGAGAAAATCACTCTTCACCCCTCTGCCAGATGCAATGGCCACATTCAGTTGCTGCTCTCTAAGGATCTCCATTTGATACTGTGCCTTTTCCATCACTTTTGTTAACCTTTGTGCTTGCCATTATACCCTTTTTATTTTCTTCTCTACAGAATTGTGGGATACTCATCCAAGAGTAT